CCGCCATGGATTGGAAAACACTGCAGGCGCTGCTCAGCGGGGTCAACAAGTACTCCACAGCCTTCGGCCGCATCTGGCTCTCCGTGGTCTTTGTCTTCCGCGTGCTGGTCTACGTGGTGGCAGCTGAGCGCGTGTGGGGAGATGAGCAGAAGGACTTCGACTGCAACACGCGGCAGCCAGGCTGCACCAATGTCTGCTATGACCACTACTTCCCCATCTCCCACATCCGCCTCTGGGCCCTGCAGCTCATCTTTGTCACTTGCCCTTCCCTCCTGGTCATCATGCATGTGGCCTACCGGGAGGACCGTGAGAAGAAGAACCGGGAGAAGAACGGGGAGAATTGCCCCAAGCTCTACAGCAACACAGGCAAGAAGCACGGTGGGCTGTGGTGGACCTACCTGCTCAGCCTCTTCTTCAAGCTTATCATAGAGATCCTGTTCCTCTACCTCCTCCACAAGATGTGGGACAGCTTTGACTTGCCACGGCTGGTCAAATGCTCCAACGTGGACCCCTGCCCCAACATTGTAGACTGCTACATTGCTCGGCCAACCGAGAAAAGAGTCTTCACCTATTTCATGGTTGGAGCCTCCTCCATCTGCATCGTCCTCACCGTCTGTGAGATCTTCTACCTCATCTTCAAGAGGGTTGTGCGGAGTGCGCGGAAGTGGAAGAAGTCCACCAAGCGCTCCATCAACTATAGCAAAGCCTCCACCTGCCGGTGCCACCTCAAGACGGAGGAGGACAACAAGTCCCAGACTAGGTGTGTGGCAGTCCTGAGGGCCTCAGCTCCCAACCCGACTGCTGTCTGATGGGGTGCTGGGAGGCAAAGAGGGAGGGAGACGTGTCCAGGGATGGCTGGCCTCAGAGGTGGCCACTGGTGGTGCCACCACCAGACTCTTCAGCCAGCATCTTGATGGCTCTAAAGGGGAGGGGGACACATCCATGGGAACTCTCCTGCTTGGGACCATGGGCACGTCCCCAGGGGTCCCAGCGGCGTGGGCATGCTTGGCGGCAGGTGGGTGCCAGCTGCCTGTGGGCATCCCTGAGGGTGTCTGTTCTTTCCACAGAGGAGAGGAGCTGTGAGCTTGCCCGTCCCAGCTGGTTCGCCTTCCCCTTGGCCCAGCAGCTTTTCAAGCCTGCCAAGCCCCTGAACCATCGAGAGTTGACCCGTGTGAAAAATGACTAAACCCAACAAACTAAAGTCCCCTGAGAGAGGCCTGTGGGTGCCTGAGCAGACGCAGGTAAGGCAAGGGCAGGCCCGGAGCACTGCCGGCTGCACACAGCAGTGCCGCAGGGCTTGGACATCACATCGACGCACAGACACCATGCATGACTCTGACGAGCAGCCAGCCCCATCACAGCGGCCAGCGCTGTCCGGCCTGGCAGTGACCCTGGCCAAGAGCTGCAGGGACGAAGCCGTTGAGCTTGGAGGGCACACAGGACTGGGGCGGGCAGGAGGGAGCATGGGGCCTCCCATGTCCCAGCATCTTCACTTGGGTCCTCCAGCTCTGCTGCTCCCATGCTGGGTACGAATGCATCGGTTGGTGCCCGGTCAGGGCTGGTGTCACCCAGCGCGGTGACAGTCCCCAGTTTGCCAATACTGGGGCAGGAGCAGCTTTTCCCCCTTTGCTCATGCAAGCACCATGCTGGTGTCCTGCCCAAATGCCCTTGCTGACTCTGCTGCTTCCCTCGGTGCCTTTGCATCCCCCCTTGCTCCAGGCAGACATGTCATGCACAGCATCAGCTACGGATCCAGAAGGCCAATAAACGTCATGTTGTTTGTAGATGCTGGGATCTGCTCTGCACACTGTAAATCGGGGAGACTGGTGAGGGCAGAAGAAATGGATTTGCAGAGGTTCCCCGGGAGTCCGCGGCCAGGTGCACCTCACTCCCGCCCGAGCCAGGGAGGCACGGGTCGAGCCGCGGGGCCGGCGTGCCCATTGTCTGCCCGTTCCACCTCCTCCCGGCTTGTCATGCGTCGTTAAACTTTAATTCACCAGAACGAACGCTGGCCCCCAAGGAAATCAACGAGGGATCAGCATAAATTATTTACTAAACCTTGATAAATATTACAATAAATAGAATTTATTTCCATTTAATCTCTCCTTAAGCAGCACTACACGGAGGGTCTGCTGGCACTCTGGCCAGCTGCTTTTCCAGCGCTGCTCGGCCTGCTTGCACTTCCCCAGACCCAAGAGCATGTCGCGGTGTGCGCTGACGCAGCCGGGGCTCGTGCCGCTGTGAGAGGCCGTGACGGCGATGCCCACGCTGCCGGCAGGGTGACGTGTGACACGTCTCTGTGCCAGACACGGAGCAAGTGCTCCCAGCATGGGCTACTCCTGTGGGCACCCCAGCACGGCCTCACCTGCGTCACTGGGAAAGATGCTCCAGGAGGTCGGACAGCACAGGGTGTCCGACTGGGAAGCGGCTCTGGCACCAGCATGGGTCTGCTTTGGGACACCCGCACAGCTCACTGGGGACCTGTGGCTGGGGGGGGGGGAGGCCGTGGTGGGGGCAGGCCCCCCCGGGAAGCCTGTGCTGGGCACAGACCTCCTGGTGGGTAAAGCAACGTGGGAGCCGGCACATCCATGGGTGAGGGCAGCTCTGATTCCTTTGTGGGTTTGGAGCAGCTCCCCACAGGTGATCTTTTCCACCCGTTGAGGGCTGGCAGGGTGCAGAGCATCACTAGGGAGCGGGGCCAAGGGGGGGCCTCGCCATAGTGGCAGACATAACCCAGGGGCCGTGGGAAGGGGGAAGCGGTATTCACAGCGGGCTGGCTGGGAGACGGGCACTGGGCTCCGCAGCATCCTGGTGCCACGGCATGCGGTGGCACACGGGTGTTACCTGAAGCACGGCAATTATTTTATATTAAACATAACGACGCTGTTCCGGCTCTGCCCTCCGCTCAGCCCCGGCACTGTCTGTGAGGAGGAAATGCCACGTCTCGGTGCAGGAGAGGCGGCAGCTCCTGGATGTGTGTGCAGACTGGCCTAGTTTCTGGTTTTGCTAGCCCAAACCCAAACCCGCCGCCCCCGGCTAGCCCCACGCAGCCCATGCCAAGTGTGCCAGCCCTTTGCAGCCACTGCAGGACAGTGAGGGGGGGGCCACGCAGGGGTTTTGCCCCCCTGAAGCCAGCAGGACTTAAGCCTGTGCATAAAATGTCAGCATCTGCCCACCTGCTGTCCCCTTTCCTGGGGAGGGACCTCATCTGAGCCCCCCGACAGCAAAGCTCCGCTTAAAACCCGGTGGCGGGTCGCAGCCCCTGGCTCCCCAGCGCAGCTCAGCCCCGGAGCCGGCGGGGGACGCGGGGCCGGGGCAGCGCCGGGCTCCGGTGTGGCTCCAGCACCACCCAGCG